TCACTTTTCTACTAGCACACACTTTACATCTCTTTTAGGACAGTCACTCCCACAATTTATATAAACTTTATGATAAACATAACTATTATCATTCTAAAAAAATGCTAACATCATACTAGTAGTAGTTGCATTGCTGACAATATTATAGAACTTATCCATTCAATGAAAAAATTCAGACAAATAAGGTCTAGGATGAATACTACCACTAGGAGGAGGAGTAGGACAAATTATTACTGTTAGTAGTAGGAGTACAACTGTTCCTAGTACATGAAGGTCATGTTTGTTGTTATTGTGTGCATGTTGTATGGTAGCTGTTGTGATCCATGATGCAATAGCAACAGGTACTAAGAAATAGTAGTAAGAACTCAAGGCAAACGATAAGAGAGGATGCCATGGAAGCCATACGGTACTACATAGTCATGCATAAAGTAGTACTAGTAGTACTCATACTAGCTACGAGTAATATTAAAGTTCAACTATTATTTTTTTACCACGTAATACTACTGTACCGACTAAAAATTCCATAGCTCTCTTTTTCAAGAAATAACAACTCAGTCCAACGCAACCAGCCAGCAACTGATGTTGCTGGTGATACAAACTGCATTTATACATGAACGGCAGCAGAGCTTTCTTCTTTCCAATTCCTTACTGAAACAATCATCCATTTGAAAAAGTCACTTACAGCGCACAGTTGTTGCAACAACTGCATGTCACTTCTGCGCAATCAACTGAAAGTATTTGCAGATCGTGATAACCATCTCCTCTTCTTCTACATGTCGTAGGAGAAATTGCGCCTGTAAACGAATTTCTATCAAACGTCAGTACATTACTGACGACCAAGCTATTGATTGCTGCACTGGGCATGTCACCGGAGAACTTGTTTCCGTCCAGCTTCATTAACCGAAGAGTTCCTCCCAGGTTAGCGACGGATTCAGGCAATTCACCAGTCAGTGTGTTGTTGGATAATACAAGCTCAGACAAATGTCCAAGTGTGAAAAGATCATCGGGAAGACTACCCGAGATTCTTGTACCTGAAATGTAAAGTCGAACTAGGTTAGCAGCACTTCCAACAGCCGGAGAAAGGGTACCGGTGATTTCTGAGTTACCACCTAGGTACAAATTTTCCATGGTTGGTGAAAATATCGAATCTGGAATTTCTCCTTCGAAGCGATTCCCGGCCAAATCAAGAGTTGCCAAATGTGGAAGTGCACCAAGTTCTTCGGGAATAGGTCCTGAGAATCGATTGTTCCTGAGAAAAATTTGCAATATTGAAGGCATGAGCGTCAACGACTTAGGGATGTTTCCTTTGAACTTATTATCGGAGAGCATAAATACTTCTACGGGGGAATTCTCTAAGAAAGTGTCAGAAATCCTTCCACTCAATGAGTTGTTTGCAAGGATAAGGTGGGTCATATGCGTTAAACTCCCCAATTCATCAGGCAAGGCTCCTTTGATGTCGTCATTCACAGCAACAAATTGTTCGAGCTCAGTAAGAAGACCTAGTTCGGAGGTGAGAGTTCCCGTGAGATTGTTGCCTTTGTTTTCACCTGTAAGAAAAGCGTTTACCAACAACCAAAGGATGCCGTGTAATTAGGAACGAAACGAATTACTTTTCGTGGAGCAAGTGATGTGATCTCGCAATCCAGTATTCCAATATTTTAGCAAAACGTCGTACTTACTAAAAACTATATCCACAATTCGACCAGCATCGTTACAACCAATCCAACTCCAGTGGCAATATGTGACGTTAGAACTCATCCACGAAATTCCATCTGGACAATTGTCAGATCCTTGGGAACATTCAAACCAGTACTCTCCAGCTGTGGAAAAGTAGAATACAGAGGCAGCGTATAAGTCTCCCAACATCGCTTTGTCGCTTAACCTTGGTGCGTATTCGGCATCATTCGCGATGAAATCAGCAGCTTTGTATTGAGGTGAATCGGGATTTTCGAAGGCCTCAGATCCCGATATTTCTAATGCAAATTGATTCACAAACGTTGCAAATGCCGCTGTAGTTGGTGGTAATGTAGGAACATCTTTTGGCGTCGGAGCTTGAGTTGGAGAGCTGTTCGGGACAACAGAAGCGGAAGGGGCAGGTGCACCTGTCTGAATAATCACGATGGGGTCAGACTCGTACTGGGGTTTGACATAGAGAGGTACGACGATCGCCGCAGCTCCCACACAGATAACGATCAGGAGGCCGAAGATGATTACCCAGTATCGCATTCTTGCAGTTGATTCGTCAGCCCCTTCTTTCGACTGGATTTCAGGTGCAATGCGGGAACTTTCTAAATCAATCCCCTCTGGTGTCTGGCTCACACGATATTGAGCCGATGGAGGACCAGAAGAAGCCATGCTAGTCTGACGGGGATTCGATCCACCGGAGGTGCTCTGCTGCATCGAACGAGCAAGGAATTCCGACTGTGTCGTTGGAGGTCCTTGCATGGCCCGCCGTGCTTCGTCGTCGATTGACATCATTTTCAATCTAACTTCTTTTGTTGTTATAACCACGCTATTACTTTTAGATTTCACTCACTGTGGCGTTGTGTTCCAGAAAAGTGCGGTCGAGACGTGCGAGATCTATTGGTAATAGCAATGGTACGAGTACATACTCAATAGATAAAGGAGGGAAAAACTTTTTACCGTACCGTACTACAGAAGATGTAGCTCCAGAGATGTCAGTCTTACAGTCGCGCCAAAATTGTCCCTCACGGCTGAAGTTTTTGGGATTTCACCACGACGTGATTTTTTTGTGGGATTCATTCGAGCAGGATTTCGGATTTCGGATTTCCGCAACGCATCGAAAAATAAATTCCATGAGTGCTTGAGGAAAGTGAAAGTTACCATTCCCCCCCGAAATGAAATAATGCATGAATAACCCCCCGAATCTGATAGCAGCAAGGCAACTCGTTTTCGATTGTTGGACAAAGAGGAGTCCTCACAACCATGTGCTGAAGCTACCATATTTGCAGTGAGACCACTTCTTGTTCCAACAACCGACATCTTCTTGCCCATCCTCCACTGACACTACAGCAGCATCCTCACTCTCAAGCGACACCAGCACTACTACATCTCCAGCAACAGTCCTACTACTAGTATCCACAGCAGTATTTCAACAGCAACACTATCAGCAACACAATCAGCAACACAATCAGCAACACTATCAGCAACACTATCAGCAACACTATCCAGCTATTGACAGCTATTGACAGCTACTATTGACAGCTACTATTGACAGCTATTGACAGCTATTGACACAAGCAAGCTACCAAGAACAACAATGTGTTGATGCTATCAACAACAACGAATTGATGACACCCATCAGCATCATTACCAAGCAACACTATCTCCAGCAACAGTCCTATCCACAGCAGTATTTCAACAATAACAACAGTAGTATCATGCGGCAGTTAACCATGCAAAAGCCTTGGCAATTGCTACGGCATACGATATCTACAAAGAGTGTACTGATGGAAGCCTTGGTGATGAGTGGAATTTAAGCAACGTCATGAGCTATTGTGAGTTCTGTCAAAGGCTTGCTTTGCAGATGATAAGATACAATCCAGTTTAGCAGACATACAACTGTGATCTGAGGCTTAGACAGTACACATAACAAAAACAACGGATCAACAGTGGACAAGCAACTAGAAGGAAAGCACATAAGACTTTCCTTAGCAATGGCAAGCTGCTTGCATATCACAATTTGCAGACAATTGCAGAGTACAAGACAATTGGAAGATTTTGCTTCACTCAGGGTGACTATAAAAGACATTTGATAGTAACAGGACCAAGCATGTCAAGGAGCAGAAACGTTTGTTACATGTGCAGTAGCAATACGTACAGCTTGTGCCAGCTATGTGGAGTCCCGCTTTGCCCCAGCACTACTCATTCAAGGAAGTGGGACTCTCRTGGAGATCTCATCCAGCGGAAGTTTTCTCACAGCAACTACCACAATTATGAGTGGTTTGGGCTTGGAAGGAGTGACTACTGCTCTAGGGTAAGAACTGACAAAAAAGAAAAGATAGGGTGAAGTGGAAGCCTCCAAGCAAGGAACAAGAATTGAAAGATCACATTGAGTACATGAAATTCTTATTGGGCATTGAGGATGAGGAGAACACTACTAGTAGCATTGGTGATGCTGATGGCGTTGATATTGTTGTTTCACCAAGCAGCACCAGTGTTAACAGTGAACTACCTTTTCTGACTCTGGATAGTACTACTGAGTTAAGCACAGTGGTTTGACCATTAGAATCAGTGTAATAAACAAAATAAACAAAATAGTTGTGATTATTAGACTCATATCAGCTACTTGTATCTCCGTAGCAGCAGCTGTTCAGTATCAGCGGATGCTGTATCAGGGGACGCCGTATCAGTGGACACCATATCAGTGAGCCTCCATATCAGCAGACACGACTGTATCAGCAGCTCCTACATATAAACAGCCTATGTATCAACAGCCTATGTATCAACAGCCTTGTATCAGCGTCCTCTGTATCAGGAAGCGTCCTATGGTGTATCAGCAAGCCTCTGTATCAGCATTCTCTGTAATATTAAATATGAATAGTGCACTCATTTGGTTGCTGATTTGGTTGCTTTGTTGTTGATTGCTTATTTGTTGCCGGTTGCAGATGTGGTTGCTGGTTCTCACAATCCATCTCCTCCTCCTCCTCCTTACAATTCATCTCCTTGTAGTCCACTGAATCAAAGGAACAGCTTTGGTCCATGTAGAAAGGATGTCCTCACTCGTCAAAGGAAAATTCTTTAGCACACTGTATGCAAGGGGTGTAGTTGTTTTCCCTTTTCATCACTGTCCCGTAGATCTCAAAGAACCACTCATGTTTTATCACCAAAGCTCATCAATGGAGGTAACAGTGGCTTTCTGAATTGAGCTAACTCAATTGCCTTTACCAGATCTTTCTTCATCTCCAGCAAAAGTAGGGCCTGCAGGATAAAGTAGTAGGAGGTCTTTGATTTGTTCCTTTACAGTACTACAATTGGATTCTTTAGCTTCTTTTTCTCCTGCAATACCACACGTTTCCTTTGCTTCCTTGTGCCTTCCTCTTGCTTCTTCATCTGCAACAGAGTGCCTTTTTTTCTGTCGTCTTCAAAAATTGCATGTTGTTGTTACAGGGACTCCGGGACAAGAATGGCTCATTGCTGTTTTTGTAGGGACTGCTGATCAATTGCTTGCTGATAGTTTAGGGACATCTCAAACATGGAGGCAAAATTTTGGTCTTGCTAGTGCTTGAGGAGGATCTTGAGTATGAGCGCTTGGTTGGCAGGCCAGGAGTACTTGGAGGGAAATATCAACAAGATAAGTTGATCCTTGAACTGATGCCTTAGTCTATGGTTGAGTTCATGCTTGAGTGAATGCAGTTTGAGCAAGCTGAGGAGTGAGCTGAGCTGGTGCTAGTGGTGCTTGGTTGTCTTTTTGTTGTGTCAATCACCTAAGTTGCAAAGGCTGTCAAAGAGGAAAATCAGGATTATTACTAGTGGTGTTATCCCCACCACTTATATTGTATCATTTGTTGCATTGTTCCAAATCAAACTCCTCCTCCCTGTCATCTCCAATACTGGCCTTGACGCCAATCAAGTACTTAACCTGCTTTACAAGCCTGACTTCAGGAAGCATCCTTGGACCCCCATTGGGAGTATGCTTCCAGTGGAGGAAAGAGTACATCCTGCAGATGCATGGCTTGTTTTCTCTTCTAGCAGCATCAGGCCAGTTTAACAAATTTCAATTGTTATTTCCTGTGTAGTACTAGTAAGAACCTCAAATACAACAAGTATGTAAATAACCATTGAGCAGCACCATTATTACATATTTCTATGTATGCCTGGTTGCTGCAGTGGTACAAAAAACTAATACTAGTAACAAACAGTAATTGAATTTTAAATTCAAAATTAGGTCATGTATAGGCAAATAAGCTTGGTTACAGAGTTGCACATAGGTAATAAATGTAACCAGAATTTGTAACCAAGCCCTTCCCTCCTTAAGAGGACCCCCCATTTCCTCACAATACTAATAGTACTAGTCTAGTAGTTACAAAAAAAATGTTTGCACACAAATTTCTTCTGGTTTCTGATCATGAAAATGCTTTTATCCAGGTGCACAAGCACCTCAAAATGTAAAAACTTGTCTTGCCTTTTTCCCCTTCTCACAACAACAATAACAAGCACTAAGAACTGAAAAGTGCTCCTACTTATACCATATAATCACCGGCAGAATACAAAATTAATTGTAAACTCAGTTGAAAGTCAAGGTAGAAAATACAGCAGTAGCAGGCACATACTAAACACTGCTAGTAGTACTCAATTGATTATGTTGATAGTTGTGACATTGCTTTGCTCTGAAAGCAACTTCACTCACTGCACATTGACAATATCATCACATAGATACATGATGATGTAATGCTACTGGTGCACCTTCACAAGAAATAGCAAAAGACTAAGCCCAAAAAGTAGAATAGGTACATGTCACAGGAAAGGTACCAAAGGAGCCCTTTTTTAGTTCTTCTGCACTGTGCAGAATGTCTATCTGTTTGCACCACAGCAGTCAAAATCTATTGTGGCGTATTCTATTTTTTGGGGCATAGTCTTTTTCTACTTCTTGTTTCAGGCTCTATTTTTAAAAAAGCAATTGTGCTGGTAATAAAATTTTATTCATTCAATAATAAAATTTTATTATACTTTATTAAGTGCTTAATAAAATTTTAMTAGTAATGATGTGTTATAGAGTTAATGTCCTGCATAACCAAATTTTGTTAATGCAACGAACCTCCAAATAAGAGATTTTTGATAACCCATGTACTGAAGAASCATTCTACTAGAGCATTAACCAATATTGACAGAAATCTGTGCAGACACATTGTATGAAAACTGGAAAAACTCAGTTTGGGCCCTCTCCAGAGATTTGGACTGTTATGTGAACAGATAGATATTTGCGGTGTGCAGAAGCAGTAAAAAAGGCTCTTTCAGTACCTCTCCTGTTTTTGTTGGTCCTGTATATGTGTCGCGACTTTACGTAACAGTTTTTGAGTGTTTTGGCAGTTGGATTTTACAAATGACTGTGTAGAACATGTACAATAAGTACTGAGGACTAAAAATGTGCATGCGGGCAATTAAAAATTATTTTAGTTTTTACACATGAAAATACACTGTATGAACATGGGGAACTAAAGTTTGCATTGACAAGAATGGTAACGGGCACCTCTTTTGAACAACAATGACTGATACAAGAAAGTTCTCCATACTGAAGAGAATTACAGCCTTGAAAATGTGTCACTCTTAGCTACTACTATCATGTGCAAGTAGCGGCATAACAAAATGACCGTTAGAACTCAACTGGCGGGAAAACCACATTTATATGCCAAGAAAGGCCGTCTTTAAGTAAATACCACAAGTATGTCAGACACTTTCAATTAATACAATCTTCATACTTGTATTCATTTATACATTTATAATAGATCTGTTAAACAAAAAAAGAAGCATTCCAATCGCCCAAATTTTGACATTATTTCAGTAATAAAGGTGCTAAAATGACACATATAGTGGACCGGAGGAAGTATTATATTTGTGGTTCGTAGGAGGTACAGGAGCAGACCGTGCGACGCACAGTTTTCTTTATCATAGCGTAGGGTACTGTACGTACGTACCTACTGTATTTACTACGATCTACGTTACGATACTACCGGTAGTAACATCTAAGATTATTATCCATACGTCGAACGTACGTAGCGTAGTATGGTACCGGACGGTACTGGTATGGTCTGTCGCTGTAAAAAAATCCTCCCAACACCAATTTGGTCCATTGTCTTGTTTTTCTTTCACGAGGAATGCCAGGTGGAACACTACTCTGACGTTTGTTCCACGCGGATAACCAACAAAACTTCTTTCCAAAACGTTGATGGATACTCTTACTGCAATCGAATGATTTACATCCGAAGAAAAGTAGTTTTCCAGGAACGACAAGGGCAAAAATTAGTCCCCGACAATAAAGTAGCTCGATCACGTTGACCATTTTTCAGAGCTCACGCACGATGAGGTTCACAGCAGCATCGGCCTTTTTGGCGTTGGTGTCTACAACAGATGCCGCTTCATTCTTCAAATCCACCCCATCAATCGCTCAAAAGTACGGACTCGACGTCGGGTCGACAACCAGATCATTGACTAGACAAGATGGGTGGTTTGCTGGTGTTGCCACACGAGGAGGTGCAACCGGTGAGTAACTTCGAAGTGTAATCTCTAAATTTTGTCTCAAGCGGGCGTTATTGTTTTCTAAGTGATCCGGCAACCTTTGCACTCGCGAAATCCTAACGGAAACACTCTTTCTATCATAGTTGTAGAAGAGGACCCGACCAAGAAAGCGAAGAAGAAGAAGAAGAAGAAAACTGTCTCTGCTAGCACCAAAAAATCAAGCGGAAAACAAAAATCAAACGCAGATAGCGATGAATCTGACTTGTCGGTGGCGATTTTGGGTGGATCAACCGATCGAAATGCCATGCATGTGTTCAAGTACTCCGGTGAAGAAGGCCACTCCGTTGTAGGCATGACCGAGGCGGCCATGATGGAAATGGGCCTGTTCGAAGGTGACACTGTTTCGATCAAAGGAAAGCGGGGAAAGAAAACAATGGCGAGCGTCGCAGTTCTAAGTGAGGCGGATGTTGCAGCACTGTCAGATGGTAGCAGCGATGGTGCTGCCATTGGGATGTCGACTGATGCTATGAAAAACGCTGGTGTTCGAGCTGGCGACAAGGTCACAGTCACAGCAGCTCCTAACGTCAAATTTGGCAAGGCTGTCCTCATTTCCCCCATGTTGAACTCCTTGAAACTCAGCGGTATTGATGAAGAGACCATGACAGATGAGAACGGTGACGAGGTGAAGTTGTTTGAAGACTATCTTGCACCTTACTTCTCTGATAAATTTAGAACCCTTTATCGAGGTGACACCTTCGTCGTTGATGGCCCGAAAGGTGAATTAGAGTTTCAGTGTGTCGAAATTGATTCTGTAGAAAAAGACGGAGATAACGCCTGTATCGTCGTTGAAGAAACAGTTCTCGAATGCGACGGAGAAGCAATTGAAGAAGAAGTCGATGATTTGGAAAACGCAGGCTACGATCAAATCGGTGGAGCAAGCAAACATTTAGCGGCCGTTCGAGAACTTGTGGAGTTACCTCTAAAGCACTCAGAATTGTGGCGCAAGCTTGGAATCAACACACCTCGTGGTGTTCTGCTAACTGGCCCCTCGGGCTGTGGTAAAACCGCTATGGCGCGTGCTGTTGCTGCCGAGACTGGCGCTTATTTTTTTGTGATTAACGGTCCTGAAGTTATTTCCAAGCGCGCCGGTGAATCAGAAACCAACCTCCGACGAGCCTTTGAAGACGCTGAAGCAAACGCTGAGGATTACAATGGTGCTATCATCTTCATTGACGAAATCGATTCTATCGCTCCGAGGAGAGAGAAGGCGGGTGGCGAAGTCGAAAAGCGTATTGTATCTCAACTGCTAACGCTGATGGATGGTCTGAAATCGACATCGAAAGTAGTTGTTATGGCAGCTACCAATCGTGCATCTACCATTGAGCCTGCGTTGCGACGTCCTGGACGATTCGATCGAGAGCTTGATATGGGTATTCCCGACGAACAAGGCCGCCTAGAAATCCTTCAAATTAAGACGAGAGATATGAGGTTGGGAGATGATGTCGACTTGGAGTTCTTAGCGCGCAACACTCATGGTTATGTAGGTGCTGATCTTCAACAACTTTGTATGGAAGCTGCACTGGAGTGTATTCGAGGAAAGATGGGTTTAATCGATTTTGATAAAGACCAAGTCGACAAAAAGATTTTGGACAGTATTGTTGTTGAAGGCAAACATTTCGACCATGCAGTAGGAATTGTCGCTCCTTCCTCACTGCGAGAGAATCAAGTTGAGGTCCCTGATGTGAAATGGGAAGACGTTGGCGGACTCGAAGACGTGAAGAGGGAATTACACGAGACTGTGCAATATCCAGTAGAACACGCAGACAAATACATTAAGTTCGGAATGAGCCCCAGCAAAGGAGTTCTATTTTATGGACCACCAGGATGTGGAAAGACTCTTCTTGCGAAGGCTATCGCAAACGAAGCCGGTGCTAATTTCATCAGCATCAAGGGTCCCGAACTCTTAACGCAATGGTTTGGAGAAAGTGAAGCGAACGTTCGAGAGCTTTTCGACAAGGCTCGAGCGGCTAGTCCTTGCATTCTGATGTTCGATGAAATGGATTCTATTGCGAAGACCCGTGGAAGTGGTAAGTTTCAAACTTGTAGAATTATGGCGTTTTGGACGTCTTTCGGTACCTCATTTCTCATACAAAACCTATGCTTTGTTATTTCGTCACGAAGGTGGAGGTGGAAGTAGCGAAGCTGGAGATCGCGTAATTAACCAAATTTTGACAGAAATTGATGGTGTTGGTGCTCGGAAAAACGTCTTCGTAATCGGTGCTACTAACAGACCTGATATCCTCGATCCAGCTGTCATTCGTCCGGGTCGTCTTGATCAGTTGATTTATATTCCGCTGCCTGACTTCAAATCACGTCTAGCAATTTTCCAGGCCTCATTGCGTAAGGCCCCTCTTGATCCCGCCGTTGACATGGAAGTTTTGGCAAGATCGACCCATGGATTTAGTGGAGCCGATATTTCCGAAATCTGTACAACTGCCAGCAAACTAGCCATTCGAGAAGCTATTTTGGCGGCCGAAGAAAGAAAAGAAGAGGCAGAAAATGATGACGATGAAGAAGATAGCAGCAGCAGCAGTAGCAGCAAAGAAAAGACTCAAGCTGTAGGAGAGCAAATGCTGATCACTAAACGGCACTTCAACTTTGCGATGAGTCGTGCCCGACGCAGTGTCACCGAAAAAGATCTCGTTCTATTTGAAGAATTTGCAGAGAAGCAAAAGGCAGGGCGTGGAGAAGCTGCAAATAACTTCAAATTTGGTGAAAGCAATTCAAGCGGAGCCGCTGGGGAAGAAGCAAAGGAAGACGAGGACCTATATTCGTAGGAAATAAAACTAAAAATCATTTTCCTCAATATCACTCATGTAATTATGCTTTTCTTAGGTTTTCACTGTAGAACAGACTTCAAGAAGAACTTTGATTCGCTTCTGTATTAATGAAATGTACGGAAAATGAAGAAGACTACTCTGAATGAGTAGGAGGAAGACTTGCACACTGTACAGAGTTACTGCCAAAACCAGTTCTTGTTTGTTTTGTACTTGAGGACTTGTTTTTGATCACAAAATATTTATTGCACAATTATAGTTAGCACTCAATCATTTCCTTTGAATTCGTCAATTTTACCAACTGAACTTGTTGTCCCAAGCAATGTCAGAGTGGAGACTGGTGGGAGAGTAGTGACAAGAACTACACACAAGCCAAAGGCCATCAAGTCTGCAATTTGATGACAAGAATTATCAAACATACTATGGATCATATTTCAGTCCCTACTTTATCCAGATTTAAATCTCACTTTTTCCAACAGCACAAACAAGGATATCATATTGTACATACTTTCATAGCCTTTGGGTCTTATGACACTCATACATATGCTTTACATTTGGTTCTTTGTATACTCATTCTGTCCAATTATCTACATGATTTCCACAGACATCAGTGTAGTTCATAGATTGTTGATCCTGAGCCCTTTCTCAACTAGACTATCATGAACATGGTGACCATCTCCTCAAAGAACAGTAGGTTTGCTCTCTCCTACCACACCAAACACTCTTGTGTCACACAATGCCAGTAAAAGCTCTACCTCACACTACACACCAAAAAGATTCATATTATATTTACCTTCTGAACTAAACACCAGGACACTAGTAGTAGTAGTAGTAGTAGTAGTAGTAGTAGTAGTACTAGTAGTAGTAGTAGTAGTAGTAGTAGTACTAGTACTAGTAATAGTACTAGTACTAGTAGTACTAGTAGTAGTAGTAGTACTAGTAGTACTAGTAGTACTAGTAGTAGTACTAGTAGTAGTACTAGTAGTA